AAGACATACCTACGAACATAAACCACTCGTCAAATATAACCGCCTCTTTCGAATAAGCCGATTCGCAGGTGCACGACATATACGATTGAGGAGCGATCAACTCGCTGTTTCGACCGTGTCAGTACCCTGCACCCCGATCGATCCATGCATCCGCAATCGAACTAATAATCTCCAATAATTCGACAACTACATAAATTGTGCATGTATAGAATTCACGATACCGAAATTTCATGTGCGCATAGTGAATAATCGGCTAGTAGATATTGGTGGTGAAATCTAATGAATAAAAAAAAAACTGGTAGTAAAAATGTAAAAATGTATAAAAGAGACAAGTAAATTAAATAATTTACTTATCTTTTGTAATGCCCAGAAAAGGCTAAAGGCCATGATAATAAATAAATAAAGTTGTTAATTTTAGTAAAAAGCAATACAGTTGTTAGAAAAAAAATGCTCGCCAAATTGTAAACGCTTCAAAATAGAGAATGCACCTTTATTTTGCCTCTATCATTTTTGTTGATGACCGAGAGATTAATCATTACCTATTCCAAAGGAATGAGACTTAATGATCGAATCTATAACCCGTGAAATAGAACAGAAAAGCTGTAAGATACGTCCGCAAAACCAACAGATGAAAAAAACTCGTTAGAGACAAAATAATCTTGAGAAAATAGAAAGTCAACCGAAAGTAGATATTTCTCAAGCCGATAATATTTCAAAAGTCAGAAGAAGACCAGCAAACAAAGTTTAGAAAAGCTGCAGAGGAATTCGAAAACAGAAAATGTTGTGAAAACGAAACCTGTACCCAATATAAAAAAACACCCTCCACGACAAGACTTACTGCAAAAGAAAATGAATGATACAAGAAAAATTGAAATACCACAAATCGTTTACTTACCGAAAATAGACGTGAAATCTTTGAATGGTATATGAAATCGGAGAAAGCATAAGGCATATGTTCATAATTAAGAGTCTGTCTGAGATGGATTCAATGTATTAGAACGATACTGATAATCTTGAACTGTGCTTGAAACGTGCTGAAAGTGATAATCCAAACGAACAATATGATCCTAAATTCTGTCACCAAAATGGAATTGATCCAGATAAATATAAGGTGTTCATTTATTATCGAGAATCTGTGGATATGAATAATGACCAACCTGTAATAAATGCTGAATATGACTGGCATAAGGCGTGCACTGTAGGAGACCTTGAAATAACCTGTGAATTATGGTTAAAGAATGTTAATGAAATAAAAGTGTAAATATAAATCTTTAGTAAAAAATTGAAATTGAGCCTAGGAATAAAATAAGGACTGGGTCAGAAAACTAAGTCCAAACCACCGCATGATGAAAGGTAGGTGTAACGAATTCACTAACACTTATATTTAACATATAGACTAAATCAAGCATGGATTGAATTCACGACAATGAGGTGACATTATGAACAACCCGGTAGTAGAAATTGGTGTGAAAAATCTAGTGAACAGAAAAAATCCGTCAGCAAAAATATTTAGTGTGTAAATATATAAAAGAGACAAGTAAACGTAATATTTGGTAGTGCTGAAAAGGGCTAAGAAACATTATAAAAAACTAAAATAAATAAAAGTTGCCAGTGTTAGGAAAAAAATTACTTACCAAAGCGTAAACACCTCAAGATAGTTAAATGCAAATAAAGAAAATTTATAGTAAATCTTCGTAAACCGAGATACTTATTTAGATTAATAAACCCTTAAAGTAATACAAATAAAATAATGTGAATAAAGTAATATGAATAAAGTAATGCGAATAAAGTAATGAAAGTAATAGACAAATGCTTTATATATCCCAATTCATATAGTATACATGATAATTTCTTACCAAAATTATGTGTTTTATCATAATTACTCATTTCTGCGCTTTTTGAAAATGAATGAATACTTTATGTTCATCCTTTCCAACTACAATTTTCTATATCATAACAAATCCAACATTAAATGTTCTACTGGCGTCGCCAATCTCTGCTGATTTTTAAAAATAAACGAACATTTTATGTGCTGCAATTCCAATAAATAACAACAATTTCTTAGCCATATTATATATGTTCCATCAACATTATTCACCTCTGCAGATTTTTAAAAATAAATTGATCCATTTTGTTCACTGTTTTCATTTTAATTTCTTTGTCATAATAATATCCAGCATTAAATGTCTCGCTAATGAATCTCATCTCTGCTAATTGTTGGCAATAGATAAATGGTTTATATTTTCATCCGTTTCAATTTCATTCTATTAAGATTTAAAGAAGTCGATTTAGTGTTCTTGCAAAGTGCATCTAATTCACAACGATATAATCCACTAGAAAAGGTTTCAGGGCCAAAGAACACGTGAAAACTGGCGATGAAAAGTCCACTGGAAAGAATTTCAAAACTGACAATTCTAAAGACCAAAAGGCACGTAATAACAATATCCATCCGGAAAAAGACTTGCACCAACGAAAACGACTATTTCAGCGACGTCGACTCCAAAAAAAAAAATCGATTATGACCTTGTATTTAGCAAAATTTGCAACGCGTCTACAAAAATAGGTATGCAAATAGTCATGGTACATTTTCTCCTTATAAGTTGCATGTATGTTACACAAAAATGTGAACGTACCCGATCCAGCAACTACCCCAGCATACCCCATAAAAATTCACGTGTCATGTGATCTATTTGCCACAAATTAATCAAATATTTTATCACAAACATTTTTAATAAATAAGAAATAGTATAATGACGCTATGTTTAATAAAGGTTGTTTTAATAGTAACGACATAAGTTTTATTGAATTTTTTTTAATGGATTCTAATTTGGTTAAAGAAATTCAAATGTTTGAATGTACTGGATGCCGACATACACTTGCAATAAATGAATTCAATAATTATGCAGATCCTAATAGCCTCTTTTCAACTTGTAATAATTGTCATGATACAAATAAAATATGCAAACAGCAAACTAAATTGCATAAAAGAAAATTAGAAAATGAATCCAATAAACCAAAATCGATTGAAAATGAATCTGATCAATTGGAATTCCTTGAAATAAATCCAATAAACAAGATTTAGTTGAAGATGAATTTGATGAATCAGAAATAATTGAATTAGATGATTTATCAGATTATTATAGTTGTTTATTAACTCTTTATAAAGATATAATAAATGATAATAAAAAAAAAATATAGAATTTAAGTTTTTTTGTACAAAAGAATATAGTTAAACTTATTATTGATTCTACAGTATTAAAGATGAGAATAAATATTTATGAGTATAAGTTTAAAACAGTATTTTTTTTTAAAAAAAATAATACTAATATATTAAAATTTTTTATTAGTTATAAAACTAAATATGTTGAAAAATTTAAATCAACATATTGGTATTATTGTTCTCAGTGAAGCTGTATAGCAAAAAATCCAAAAAAACATTTAGACTTTTCAAAACATCATGATATACAATTAATAAAACAATTTGATTTTGATAAATATATTAAAATTATTTTCAATTCTACTACAATAATTACAACAATTTATATGTTTCATTACTATTTACATATTACTCTACCAAAGATTACAGTATCGCAAGACATTAAAAATTTTATATAAAAACATATTGACTTATTATCAAATGAAATTTATACAAAACTTATTGCTGATGGCTTAAATTTGGTTATATGTCAAAAACAAATCCATTACTGGTGGGCAAAAATTGGTAGTACATAATATTAATGACATCAAAATTCATTTGATTCAGTATTATTGTGATTAAATAAAGAACATTATGAGATACTTTTAGAAATCAAGACACTAATTTGAGTTTTTTTCATTTTTAACTGGATTTTATCAACTTTTTAAAATGCATAATATAAATATTCAAGAGTGTGAAATTGATGCTACCTGTAAGTAATAATATTAATTATTATTATTATTATTATTATTATTATTATTATTATTATTATTATTATTATTATTATTATTATTATTATAATATATAATATTATATTTAAATAACATATGAATTTGTAGATAATATCAATGATCAAAGATTTGAACTTTATGTAATAATAGCAGAAGTTGATGATGTTGAATACCTACTCACTTATCTTTTTATAGAACCAAATAATAATCTTAGTACAATTAATATTAAATATACTAAAATTATTATAGAATTTTTTCAAAAAATAAAATTATAAGTTTTAATTCTAGAATTTATTTTAATTGATAAAGATTTTTTACAAATTTTAGTTACAAAAATTATATGGCCCCTATCAAAAATTCAATTATATCGATAACATGTCCAAAGAACAATTGACACATGACTATTATCAAATAAAATCTACAACATTATACTTATAAACATTTAATATTTAAACTTCAAAAATTTTTACTACATGCTTTGATCAAATTATTAATCAACATCATCTACTAAATGATCTTAACTTTGCAGCAACCAAAAATAGTTCTACACATATTCCTATACAAATATTAATTAATACAATAAAATATTACAAAACTAATAACAAAGAAGCATGGATACTCTTCCAAGACATATCCAAAGATTTTAATAAAATCAATATTAAACATTTACTAAATGCTTGCAAACGTATTGGCATTTTCCAATCTGAACTTAATTTTATCAAACATCTACACCAAGATAGAAAAGTCAGACCAATTACAGCCTACGGTCCTACTGACCCAATCACACCTCATTCAGGCATAGAACAAGAAGAAACCTACTCTTTATTACTCTGGAAAATCTATTATGACCCTATTTTTAGTTATATTAACTCAAAATACAATTCAAAACTTCTCAAAATATTATCACAATCCCTCTTAGAAACAATTTTTTCAACTATACCAACTTATTCAAAAATACCACCTTTTGTCTTCATAGATGATACAGTCTGGCATTGCGAATCTAAAAATAATCTGCAAGAGATTTTAGATAACATATCTGAACTATACTAACTAAATAATATTCAAGTTAACCCATCCAAATCAGACCTTATTTACATCCTACTCAACAAAAAAATACTATTCAATAGCACTTCAAATATAACACCTTTAAATTTCAACAATGAACCAATTTTACCTCACAAACCTAATAAAATAATAAGATATCTAGAAATATTTTTAGATGGTAAAGGCTCTACTAAACCTATACTTGAAAAAATTTTTAGCAAACCCTTTCAGTTTTTTTATACTATCTAATATAAAAAACTTCTTCCTATATAAATATCCTGACTGTTTAATACTATTTTATCACTATCAATCAAATATTTATTCCAAATATGTTCTCCTTCATAAAACAAACTCTAACAACTATCAAGTCTTCTAACAAAATGCACTAAATATATATTACACCTATCTATTAACACAAACAATGATATACTTATCAATCCACAATTACTCAACATTTCAATACTCAACAAACTTATACTACAAGTTAGTAGCAGTAATATAGAAAAATGCTTCAATACTAATACACTTCTAAACCAAATCTCTATATACCAAATTAAGAATTGGCTTTTTAAAATATAGAAACTATTTCTAACTTAGGATACAATTCTAACCAACTATAGAAAATCTTCCAACTATACTATAATATTTCAACTCTATCATCTATACAAAAACAATATCTCTATTAACAACACCTATCTAAATCAACTAACAACCTACAAACATACTAATCAAATGAATAACATTTATAATTTTATCGCAACTACTAACAATTTAGAAACTTTAAGTCTTAAAGACAATAAAATTCTTTTCTTAGAACAATTACTTACAGCTGATAATCACAATCTTCTTTCTTAGAAAAATATATATCTTAGAACTCTCAAACCCT